ATTAATCTCGGATTGGTAACAAAGTTAAACCGCTCGCCATAGTCATTAACTGTACTATGTATGTCTCTGAGGCAAAATTTATTCAAAAACTAAAATACCCGTTCACCTAAGTTGACATTTTAATCAACGTTCAACTCAAATAGTATGCGGTGCCGCTGGACCACATTACACTAAGGCCACACCAGTAGACCCTCAGGCCTGTTCCTCCTTGATAACAGACTGAAGGCGCTACTTTATTGAATTCGAAACGCAAACTCATTTCGAAGGACAAATATTTTGAGTGAAATTGATAAACTGCTATGCTTCGGGTGGGTTTAGCATACCTTAGGAAAATTCAGTAGCCTTTTATTTCAGCAGACACTCTGCTCACAACGAATACAACTAGGGTGGTAAATCATCGGCGAAATCGTGCGCCAAACTGCCCAACGTGCCTATACAAAAAGATCAAAACGCCTGCATGCTAAACTTCTTTCACCTCTCCACTTGTCGCAAATAACCAAAAATGTAGTATCGCAGAAATAAAGTTATTCAAAACAAAACCTCCAGAAAACAATACGGTAAATCCTATCTCACGTAAGTATTTTAAGATAATTCATTCTTTGATTGTCCTTTTTATGTCGGTGTTCCTTACAGTGGCGCTGATCATGCGGGATTACCATCACAGATCAGTAATGTACGAAACTTTAGAATAAAGAAAATTTTACGGTCCGACCAAATACCGCGGTTCTGTACGAATGCGTTGACTGACTCGAATGCTTGTGGACGTCCTCCTAATAGCGCCAACCACTTTTTTATAAACCATTACAAGTGTCGTGGAGATTGAGGCTCAAAAACAAGGGAACAGTTTACTGCTCTACCGTTTTTACAACCCTTTGTTCCGATTAAGCGTAACCTCAAGACTCTGTCACTGTACTTCCTCTCGATTGCACAGACCACTTAAATGGCCCCTTGACTCTTCACTGCCAACAGTCCTTTTGTTTTAGTAGTCTAACCTAGTTTGATCACGATGGGTAATCGAAGAGATGTACAAGTATTTTTCATCCTCTTGATCAGGTTCGGTGACTGTCTTGAAGTGGTTGACCAGTCATGTGTCCTCTACAGCTTAATAAATTCATTTAACGGTCTGCTTTTCCGTGGGATGCACCCTCAATCTTAAAATTTTGCGCAACGGAAGAGTTTATTATTTGCCTAATAAATTGGGGGATTTTACTGGTTTCGAACGAATATTAATTGCCCCTGCAGTTGCGGATTGGAGTCACTCATAGCACAATTTAATGCAAAACTACTAGAAATTGCAACAGAAAACTGCTTGACTGCAAACCTAGCTTATTATTTTTGGGCTTTACCAAAGAAGTTGTCTCCACTAAAAGCTCTTAATTAGGCACAACAAGGTTTTGCTCTTATAAGTCTGTCGAATATCTCTTCCAGAAATTGAATCGTAGCCATTGAGCAATCATCGCCAAACACACTTACCAACTTCTAAAGGTTTTTGACAGACAACAATAAATTACCACACTTTAAGTGCATCGAGGCATTCGACGCAAGCTGCGATAATAATACCAACATGGTCCACATGAAAGCACAACTGCTGTGAGTAGCTTGGGAGTTGAGTTGGAGGAAACTTCCGAAATGGGAGTTGACGTGGTAGCTTACCGCCGCGGAGGACCCCAAATGCATGCAAGAACGAATCCGATCGGTGCATGCAGCTAAACACCATTTGTCATGCGAGGTACACAATTTCCTGTTCCCACCGCAGCAGCAAATGGTACTACCCAAATTTAGGGATTCGCATAAATCACTTAAAGAGTAGATAGATCATATCAGATGGAACAAAACTTTAAAAAACCTAATTATTTGGACCACGTCGGTCCATGGAAGTTAAGAAGTGTTTGATAACCCGCAAATTAATGACTTTGAATGGAGCCTTGTTTCTCCCTTTTTAAAATCACGAACACATTCACTCATAATTTAAACAGCAAAGATTTAACGCAGTGGCTACAAGTTACTTTTAGGAGTGAATAATTTCCTTCTAACAATTCTGATAAACTTAATGCGAATTCTGCCTTGGAATTGATGCCCAGTTGTCATACACGAAGGTCTGCTTAGTCGCTTTCACCTTAACTACCCCATTGGCCAATTCAAAGAGGCTTTCCATTGGTCTCGTCTCTTTCTCCTAACTAGTGCGAAATTACATATAAGTTGGCCAATCAATTTTCCCATTCCGGCTATCGAAGGCACCCCAATTTATTTTTACATCCCAACAACAACCGAAAGTCAACTCAAATGCCTCTAAACTATGTTAATTTACAATAATGCTTCCGGTAGGTCCTCTTTTTCTCTGCATTTAGGGGTTTTCATTAAATCTACTTCAAACTGGACAATGCATTGACTGCTTAAAGTTTTTACGCGATATCTGAGTTTCGAAACTTGTTTTGTCTTCGGTCTACGAGACAACACCTTAATGTAATGACGTGCCAAGTGACCCGAATTTTACTAAAGTTCGACAAATTACTTGCCACTATGGTTAAAAACCTTTGGAGTGTGTTGGAAAATATTAGATGAATAAGTTTTCTTCAGATCCGACCATCCGCGTGTAACGATTTTACCATTTTTTCTTCCCGAGCCTGCATATTTATGTGCCATAGAATGGAAACGGCAGGAGATGCTGCGTCCACCCTTTGAACGGACGGATAAATTTTGTTTACCTGAGAAAGCATGACTAAAGGACTCGTAGTTAAGACAATCACACTTCAAACGGACTTTTAAATTTTGCAAATTTTTAAACTGGGATCTTCTCCACTTTCTTTTAGCAGGCAAACCTATTTGGCATTTGCAATGAAATTGAAAATTTATTTTATGCTCTACAGCTTTGCAGATTGGGTGAACAAGTTGCAGCTTCCAAACCTATCCATTAGTTTCTTAGATGGGACAACTTTAAAAACAAGCTTTTATTTGCGTGATGGCGTTCGTAGCAATGTTAATATTCGGCCTAAATTTAAATTTAGCCACAACTTTATTAATGGTGAATTTTTGTATTGTGTTAAAAAGCTGACTTAAAAATTCATAAAATCGTATTGCTCGGGAACCTTTTCAAGTAGCATTTTTGAGGCTAACGTCCTATGAGTCTTGTAATGCGATGAGCACCATAAATGGGTAAACTTTGTGACTTTCTTGTGCTATATTAATTTGACATTTAAAGTGGCACTGTATTTTCAACTCTCATTCCTACTGAACCTCCCTATGAGGCCTCGCCGGTTGTGTTTACTTAGTGATCTGGTCGAGCAGTCGAATCAGTGGCTTCTCAGCTATGCTGTGTGTTTTTTACGTTATTGTGCTCCCTACAAAGCCTTATTTTGACTTCAGTGAAGGGTCTGTTTGCTGCACTAACCCTGTGCCCAGAAGTGCAACCAACTGCTTTTACTAAAACAATTTGCCAGTATAAAAAATAAAATCTACCTTAGATAGAGGTTAAATTGTACCTACTTCTGTGACTTGTCTTTACCCTTCTCCAGCCAAAAATACCTTAACCTTATTGCATGCCATAATAGTTGAATTGAAACAGCAGAATTAGTTGCCATAGCTCCCAACCTTTAAGAGCCTGTCTTTAGACGTTTACCTTGCCATTTGACAGTTCGTCATTATTTATAAAGCACAAAACTCCTCCGTTGACAATTCACACTTCTCTCATCCTCTCATTTTATTTATAATTTTGCTATGAAATAAACTTTGCACATAATTAAGGATAATGGGACGCGGTATAGTTTTTTTACAAATTAAGAAAGTCAACGAGATACTCAACTTGTTATTTCTATGCCTGATATAATTAAAAGGCGAGTGGAAATTAATGCAAAACATAAGGATGGTTTCGTTTGCATTCAGTAGTTAATTAGACTCCAAAAGTAACCTCAGTTTTTATTCCGATATAAATCGCCTCAGCGAAATGATTACGGCAACTGCAAAGCTTTGGGTCTCTTCAATTAGCTCATTGTCAAAGGACAAAAAAGATATTTTTTTACATTTAATTCAGCATTTAGTTTTTAAGCACCATGTTTTTCCATTGTTTTAGTTCCCAGACTCAAACAATTGCTGCTTTTGTTGATCCTTTTCTTCGCTCACTACTGCTTGTAGCACTACTTTTGCCTTCTTGGACAGCGTAATTTACTTCAGCTAGCCGATAGGCATGACAGATAGGGATTTAGCAGTAAAATTTCCTACTTAATTACACCCATGCCATTCCAATATAATTGCTTAGAGTTTTGGTAGAGGCAATGAAACCCGATTGTTTACTCTTACCTTCGTGACTACACACGCAACCACTCCGAGGTGAATTACGGAATCTGGCTTATTTGTTTTAGGCGACAAACAACTGATGGTGAATTGGACATGTGTTAAATAACTACATTTTTAGGTTTTGCATTATAATTTCATTAAATTGCTCACGGTGTCTATATTTTACACGGTCTTACATTGCACCTTCTTTGGAACGTCTTGTCTTGGTTCTCCATTCCATAACTCAAACAAAATATAATGCACTCTGCGGCAAAGAATTCGATGAACACCAGTGAACGACGCATTAGTCGATTACAGTTAAACAGCAGTAAATTCCACAGCTTTTTTTCAAATGAATGCTCCAGCTATCAGGGTAAAGAAATTGTGCTTATAAGTCTCTTATTTTCTGCACAATTTGTCTTGAAGACAGTTTGCTTTCCACATGGAAACGGATCCGTCTATGGATATCAAATTTGAAAATTTTGAAAAGATTGTGTTGTTAAGACAGTATGCGGTTTCTGTCAGCTATGCAAGGGCTATAAATATCAACATTTCTGCTTTATTAGGAAGACGTAATAGCGGTGCCAGTATCAGGATTTCTGAATTTCTCTACGGATTCTCCCACCAATAACACCTCACCAGAATCAACCGGAGTTTGTTACGATACCTCGAAAAACGTGGTAAAGATTCTGTTGACGGCTGTTGCCTGTTTGGGACTAGTGACAAATTGCATGATTGTCATTGTCCTCACCCAACTTCGGGGATCGCATCCTGTGGGTGGTGGAGAGCGCTCGGCAAGATTTAATCTTCTAGGTCTAGCAATTGCTGATTTTTGTATTTGCCTTTCAACCCTTCCTCTTACCTACTCCAAAAGAACCTACAAGAAGACCGACATTATGCTGTATTATACACTATTCGGTCCAGGCCTTGTGTCCACCTTTCTCACCGTTAGTGCTTGGATGGTAGTTCTAGTGTCCATTCTCAGGTACCTGGCAGTTTGTTGGCCTCTGAAGTCCCGCTTTTACCTTCGCTGCAGGAGTGTCATCTGTGCCATTATATCCATCTACTTGGCTGCATTTATCTTCAATTTTCCCCTTTTTCTTCAATATGATTACGAAGAAGTTGTCCTCTTCGAGCATGAGACCTCAATCATGAAGGACGTTAAGTTTGTGCATATTGTTGACCGGATTTATCCACATTCCGACTTACTGAAAGACATCTACAATATTGCACATATCATCTGCACCAATGTTGGACCTTTTGTAGCCGTTCTGGTGACAAATATCTCTGTGATAGTCGCTTGCAAAAGGAGTGAAGTAATCTGCGAGAATTTCGAGAATGCGGAACAAATGAAGTTAACTAAACCGCCGACTAGTTCCTCTGTGAGCACACCTAACAATCGACATGGAGAGTCTTCACACTTACAAATCGTCCTCAATGCTCAACCACCATCTTCAGCCTCTCAACAACGAATTGTTCCACGCTGTCACAATCTTAGACCTCGAGCCCTCCACAGAGTTACACCCCTGTTACTGGCTGTAATTTTTGCATTTCTGCTCTTATCTACACCCTTCGGAATCGTTCAATTTGTTTGTCTCAAAATGATTGACAAAATTGGTCACAGAATAAGTGAAAATAATCAACTACTCCAGCAATACTTTATTTTAAACCGCCTCCTTGAGTGGACAAACTTTCTGCAAGTTTTTGGCTGTGCAGTGAATTTTTTCCTTTACTTCATGGTCTCACAAACCTTCCGACGCACCACTAGACGCACATTTCGACGAATTCTTCAGCGTTTTCGAAGACGCAGAGGTCTGAGCCATTTGTGTGCCTATATTTTTTCTGTGTGCTGTTGCGAAGAGCGACGATCATGTAAGAATGAGGCTTATATTGTGCGCGTCTACTCCCCGATCGAGTGCAGAAATCATCAAAGGCACAAACGACCGACAGAACCTTCACCTTTATACCATGAAAGGAATCTTTTATCACCCCATCTAGACCTGCAACAGCAGATTCGTCCCAAACCCGAGTCCTCCGATTCAGCTAATTGTGCATCCAAGGGAGCAGAACAAATTGAGCTGCAACTACAGGGGGGTTCGAAATGAAAGCATTTGCATTTTCATGAAGGAAGCCTACTTTGCTATCGTAAATACATGCAACTATGTATTTTTGTATAATGCAATGCCTTGCATTTCTTTCATTCTCTGCATGTGAATGATTTAGGAGATCGTAACCAGTACCAAAACCTATTTTGGACAATGGCTGTGTAACTTCCAAATTGAACCATTACCGCTATCATTCATAGGTTTGACTTCTGGCAAATTCCGTTGTGCGCAATTATCTCGAATGTCTCTCATCACTGGTTGGATGCATATGTCACAAAAAGTGTATGTCACTACTTTAAGAATCCTCTCATAAGTGCCAACATTCCTCATTATTAGTGGCTAAAAATATTTTCCGTCCTCTCAAGCGTCTCGGTGGCCTTCTTTTATCACCATTTTAAGTTGGATTTTATGTTGATAGTGATTTGGCTATATTTTAATTATAACCACTAATTATTTCAGACAATTGTTTTTTAGAAAAATGCACAAAAATTAAAAAGTTCCCACTTGTTAAGACATGTCACG